AAAATTACCTTCAGGCTATGTGATAAAGTGTATGTGAAACATAAATGAATTTCATGTTTAGACTTGAGTCCCATCCCCAAGGCATCTCATTATGTATATGCAGATATTCCCAAATCTGAACAAATTCAAAATCAAAGCATTTCGGGTCCCAGACATTTCAGATAAGGGGTCCTCAAGTTGTAATAGTTAGAAAAATGTAGATGTGAAGAAAAAATGAGTTCCTTTAAATCATTTTGGGTACCTGAGAGCATGACAGAGTTTCAGCACGACCTCTTTCTAAAGAGGAAGAATTATAAGACTGAAAATTGCTTTTGTATACTTACAGCTAGCTTAACTCTATAACGAAGGGTGCTTCTTTGGGCATAGTTTTTCTTTTTTTGTTTAGCAGGCCTGGGCCATGTTCGAACCTACTAGCCCTGCAGCATGTGGCTGGTACCCTAAGAACTGAGCTACAGGCGCCCAGCCTGGGCATAGTTTCTTTATCTAAAAAATGAGCAGCTGACTGGGGTGATTCCTAAGAATTGTTTTAGCTTTTAAATTCTGTGATCATGTAATGCTTTCCTCTGATTTTAAAATGTTAGTGATAATGTAATAATACCCTTCATAGTACTTAGACTCTTATCTTCTATGTAAGAAGTTATTTTAAAATTTAATGTAATCATATAGTTGATGTTTAACTATCCTAGTATATATTAGTAATTTGAGGGATATACACATATAAAAGTTTAAAATCAGAAGCCTCCTAAATTTACCTACATGTGGGATACTTGAAGTTATCAGGAAATTGGTTTGTGGTTAATCTAGATTTTAATTATATACTATTTTAAGCATCTGTGCTTTGGGCACCGTTGCCTTCCAGATGCCAACATTTCACCTCCAAGAGGACTCCCAAAGTTGATATGAATATGGTAGAACCCATGATGTTAGTGTAGGCAGGGAAGTAAGACCTGAGCAGAGGAACTAGGGAAAGGCAGTGGAAACCTAGGAGATGTTGAGTAAGAAAACATACTGTAACAGTAACGAGATAAAGGTAAGTAACCACAAGTGTCAGGAGAAACAACACAGGCACTCTATAGATACTTTGGTCTCACCCCACGGCCCCATGGGCTTCCAGTGCCACAGCACATCTGGACCTAACCACAGAAGGTGGAAAAACTCCTGACTGATCACCATTGGTCAAAAAAAAAAGAGGAAGAGAGTATCATGAAGGATCAGAGGCCAAATGGGAGAAAACAGGTTGATGCAGGAAAGGCTTCTGATAGTTTAAACATGTGCCTGCTCCTTCCCACTTAGGAATGTACTTCTTTGCTCACTGATTTACACTTTTGTGTCCCTTGCTTTCATTCTTTGACTGTCAGAAGACAAAAAGGTGTTCATGGCAACCACTGGTAACAATGTTATTAACCCAATTTTCTGATTGGGGTAAAAAGCGAGAAGTAAGTACATTTGGAAACTTGGAAATTCTTTAGAATATCACCCAACTTGAAAGTCTAAGGCCAGAAGTTCTTCAGTATGTAAATGTCTTCATTTTGTAGTTCATAGCAGCAGATCTTCCCTTTTCACTTTGAATTACTTCCTTGTGAAATTCTGAGAGCAAACCCTTACAACCAGGTTTATTAGCTTTTTACTTTAAGACAATCTGGATATAATGTTTTTAAATTCTAAGGATAATTTTTAGGAAAAACTTTTTTTTTTTTTTTTTTTTTGAGACAGAGTCTCACTATGACACCCTCAGTATGGTGTCACAGCTCACAGCAACCTCCAGCTCTTGGGCATGGGCAATTCTCTTGCTTCAGCCTCCCAAGTAGCTGGGACTACAGGCACCCTCCACAATGCCCAGCTATTTTTTTGTTGCAGTTGTCACTGTTTAGCTGGCCCGGGCCAGGTTTGAACTGCCAGTCTCATTATATGTGGCTGACGCTCTAGCGGCTGAGCTACAGGCACTGCTGAGGAAAATGATTTTTATTGTCAAGCTTCATAAACATGCCAGATTCATCATCTGTGCTGGAAGTGATTTCCCAGGCAAAAGGACTATGTTGGTATTTTTGAATTTATTTTGTGTAAAACCAAATTACTATTTTGTAGGTTACAGATTTCATGATAAATGTTTAAATTCACTAATAAAATACATTCACATACGTGCATATTATATAACATTAAATATGTTACTTTTTAAAAGTATACATTATTTTTCTAATACTAATTATTATAGAAATGTTATAAGAAAAATACTAAGTAAATTACAGTTAATAAAAGTGGAGCGAGTTTAATAATGATAAGCAAAGTGGAAAATATCTAATCTGTTTGTTTTTAAGAGACGGGGTCTGCTGTGTTCTCAGGCAGGAGTACAGTGGTTATTCACAGGCACATTTATAGCATACTGCAGCCTCAAACTCCTGGCTTTAAGTGATCCCCAGCCTCCTGAGTAACCTGATCTGTTCTTTTTTTTCCACACACATAAACACACACAGAGAAATCTTAAGTGTGTCAATGGTGACAGTCTTTAATATTTCCGTAGAGAGTTTTCCAAAGATTCTCTTCTAAAACTTTCCTTTACAGCAGTGGTTCTCAACCTTCCTAATGCGGCAGTGTATTTTCATTGTTAAAGAGGGGTCGTGACCCACAGGTTGAGAACCACTGCTCTACAGTGAAGTAGGAGTGTTGTGGGATTGGAAGAAAATATTTGGTGTTAGCATATAAGTAACTTATCTACAAATCCAGTCTCTTGATCGGTAATCTTCAGATATTGGAATAGTTTTGTATAAGGACTGTAGTTGTTTTTATTTTTTTAGAGACAGAGTCTCACTTTATTGCCCTTGGTAGAGTGTGGTGGCATGACAGCTCACAGCAACCTCCAACTCATGGGCTTAGGCAATTCTCTTGCCTCAGCCTCCCGAGTAGCTGGGACTACAGGCACCCACCACAACGCCCAGCTATTTTCTTGTTGCAGTTTGGCTGGGGCCGGATTTGAACCTGCCACCCTCAGTATATGGAGCCGGCGCCCTACTCACTGAGCCACAGGTGCTGCCCAGGACTGTAGTTTTTATTGATAGTGAACTGTAACTTTAAAGGGAGCGTTTCTCATTCTTTGTTTCAATTTTATATATAGATGGAGATTTCAGTTCCTAATTAATTACTAGGATTTGGGTCAGTTGTGTTATGTTTATGTTCCACTTATTTGAAAAGAGTTTGAACTAGAACAGGAATTATGATTGTAATAAAAAATTTTACTTGGCTCAGCGCCTGTGGCTCAAGCAGGCGCCAGCCACATACACCTAAGGTGGCGGGTTCGAATCCCCAGCCCGGGCCCACCAAACAGCAATGATGGCTGCAACCAAAAAATGGCCAGGCGTTGTGGCGGGCGCCTGT